GAGAAACTCTGTTCTAGCATGTGCTCTAAATTTATCACGTCTTTTAAAAGAGCTCCTCTCTTCCCTTAAATACGTCCATAAAAAATTTAGAATTGAATTTCAGCTTGAAAAACAAACTTACTGGGCCAGGTCAATAAATAATGTTGTTCAGTATAGTCGATAAATAACCAATTTAGCTGCTTTCCAAATCCATTTGTGTCATCATGCAGACATCATGCCGCCATATAACTGATACCTAATGACTACATAACACTTCATTTATTAGAGTTAATAATTCCTGATATGCTGGAAAATGGGCTAGCATGGTTCATCATCATCCCTAATAGTTTCTTTATGAACTAAAATGTAGGCTGTCAGGGAGTGATTGGTACGCCACATGAATAAGGCTTTTTTTAATCCACTGTTTTTCATTTCAAGAGAAGGGTGTTCAAACAGAGCTGTCATAGGCCTGACATGTCATGTTATGACAGACAGAATCATTCTCCCAGGTTTTATTTGCTGAGTCTGGGAACTGCAATAGGCTAGAAAGTGAAGAAAGCAGGATTCTAGACAATAGCAGCACATAAAAATAAAATATCCATCCCAGACAGTCCTAAAACGCCTACCCTCCAAGCCATTACTCTTTGTCCAGTGTTATGAGCGCTTATCTTCCAGTCTGCAATCACAGGTTTGAAGTAGGACTCCCACACTCTCCTTCAAGATGCCTTGCTATTAAAGCTGGGTGAGAATCAGCTTTTTCATCCCTCTACCCCAGCTGAATGCTTTGACCACCAGGCTTTTCTCTCTCCAGGGTACACCTCTCTCAACCTCATCTTTAGGAGCTGTTTCAACTTTATATTAATAAAGGTACATTGGAGCGGGCACTTGAATGTAGGTCTTCTGGTTCCCAAGCAAGTTCCCTAATAACTGAGCTATACAATCAGTTGCTCACTTGCACACTCTGGATGAATGGCTATTTCTTTAGAAACAACAAGAAAGCTGCAGTAGAGATGGGTTATTAAAACAGAGGCAGACCCTGCAACCGGTGCACCTCTGAGGGATGTGGCAGACTCAAGGTCAAGTTCCTGCCTTTCCATTCTCCCACACCAGGGCCGTGCTCTCAGCCCTGTGTACTGACTAGTCTGCAGTCACACTCCAACTTGCCTTTCCATTTGGGCTAGACACATCCCTTCGAGGAGCAGAAAAAGAGTTCAGGCTTTCTTCACCCTTAATTAAAGAAGCAATGCTGTTGAACCACTGGTAAAGAGCCCTTCCCTCTGGAGTGTGTCAGGCATTTGAGATAAAGCATAATAAAGAAACAAAATTCAACAAACAACCAAAAACAAACACTTTAAAACAGTCTGCCCTGCCTCAGCTACCCTATTATTTTGCTTGGGATAGGAGTGGAGCAGGGAGACAAAGGCATTTTAATGTCACCTTTGAATTGCACGCATTCTGGAGCACTCCAGGCATTCACATCCCCGGTATAAATTAGGAGAGTACTGGGTTCTACTTTCTTTCCTTTGGCCCAGGGGATGTTTTATGAAACAGAGAATTGCTATAGCAACGAGACTGGGCTCATTTTCATTTGCCTCTGGTTCCTACCTGCACCTCAATATGCTCCCTATGGCAAGATCTGGGACTGGGGCTGGTATCAGCTATTTCAGGACTGTCAACCGAGGATAAGCATACCTCTGGGGGTGTTTGGGAAGCCCCCAGGGGGTATGCAACAGCGGAGGATTTCAATGGCTAAGGAGCATCTTTGTTTAGAGACGTTCTGTGAGGACTGTTTTTTCTCGTGTCTGAAGTCCACTCCATGATAGGATAGACTGGGCTCTTTAACCTTGGTCAGCAGCCAGTCTAGGAGTCGAGCCCTGATAAATGGACAAATGGATGATCCCCTTTGCTGTGGCAGCTCCTGCAGCCAAGCTGGTTCAAATATACTGGACCAGCCTTTCCTTTGGATTAAACTAGCAAGGCTGAAGGAGGACACTGGTGTGTGGGCAATTCAGTGTCTTCATATACACTGCTCTGGCTTCTGTGCCCTGGGGAGGTCACTCCAACTTTGTTATATCTTTCAAGCAAGGATTATGTTCAGCGAGCTGATATCTCATTCGGCATAATTCTATTGTCTCACAAGACAGACACATGCCTGCTACTAAGGCTTCTTGCATGCCACCAATGCTGTGCAAAGGGGCTTTAGTCTCATTAAGAATTGGCCTTTGAGTACAAAGCCCTTCCCTTTTCATTTCTCAGGTTACACTTTGGCACTTGTCACACCATACACCTACTTGTTTTCCAGCTGTTCAGTGAAACTTGGAGAGGGGGAGCAAAATAGATTGGACCTGAATCACTGTTGATAAAATAAAATTTTAAAATACTGAAAAATACCTTTAGAAGTGAAAACCATCTTTCAGACATCTCATAAACAGCAAAAAAGAGAAAAGGTAATTTTTAAAATTTACAAATTACTGAAGTTTCTGACCAGTACAACCAGTAAACTGATCTGATTTTGTCATCTGCTATCCTTAACTATCTGCAGTATTCACATCTGTTCTGAGCAGAACATCTCATAACAGCTTCCCATGCCATCCATGCAGAATACTAGCAATAACCAGCACCTACTAATTTAACCACAAGAGCCCTCAGAGACCATTATGCTGTTAGCAACAAGAATGACTCACTGTACCTCTGATGCCTGATGCATATACCTCAACTATGCATGAAACGAATGATTGTATTCTTACTGACAAGGCACATTGAACGTATGAGAAAAAGACAATTCTGCCTCACAATGTCAATAGCAAAAGAGATGACTTGCTATTTAATCTACCACTAGCCTGGAGTGGCAAATATCACAGTGTTGCACTGTCTTTGCAGGAACAGACAGGATAGTGTCATTCACAGTTTCAAATCACT